CACTTCTATGTTCTACTCACTAAATAAGAACAGCAGAAGAATAGCCCAACAAAGAACAAAATACTTTAAAAAACTTTCTTTAGGGCGGTTTTTTTAGCAACCACTAATTTAAATCATTATTCACTATCATGGGGAATGTTGCAGCAAAGTCAATAAATTTCATTTTATCTTTTCTATATTCTTGTAAATGTTTTGTTTACTTTACTCACCTGTATGTAGAGATCGAAGGCAACATACGTACAAATATATACACACAGTTTGAAACAAAAATAAACATTTTTCATTACGAAATGGAATTTTTGAACTTATCTTTGTTCAATATCATGGACCACATTTGAAAAACGTCTAAACAACACCTACCATAATGAAAAAATTAGCTAAAATTCGAAAAAAAAAGAAATTTTTTAATAGAACGATAGAAAACGACTCTCTGCCACAAGTTTGTTGAACTACCAAATCAAATTGATGATGAAACGCTATCATTATCGAATAACAAGAAATAGTAAATTAAACATTGTTGTGAAAGTACACAAACTTGTTTGATTGCGCTAATTTATATTGTTTATGTTTTTTTTTTTTTTTTAATATGTATTGTTGAATCATTATGTATCTACATCATGGAGAGAGAGAGAGAGAGATAAAATTATATTTTTTCCAAAATTAATTGGTTGTGAGCAAATTATGAAAAAAGTAGAGCGAAGGCTATTGTCGGGTGGGTCCGACCCATTTGATACCCTACAACATTACAACTTACGAAAGTTTCTGCAGATCTGAAACCCTTTTGACTAGAAAGAAGATTCTCTAGAAACATCCCTATACCTAATATAGAATGTCCAATGTTGGACATATTATGCTCTAGTTGTGTTAAGGTTAATGAAAAAAAAAAACAATATTTACAAGTTAAAAGCAGGTAAGTTCGGCGGGCCAAACTTTGAACCATTTGAAAAAAAAAATCTGTTAAAATTTATTTAAAAATACCGAATATAGTCCGTTATATTTGGGTCTATACAACGGGACCTAAATAGGCATTGTTTTTCATAAGCCATTACCATATTCAAATTCGAATCTTGAATAAACGGTGAAATATGTAGCTAAAATTATCAAATATCGTATATAGGGAGGTACCGTTATATCGGAGCTGTGCGAAGACCTGGACCAGCATTAGATAATTTTTTGTCACAGCTGTAGCATCCTTACGAACTTTCAAATACGACATCTCAACCATTTCGGTGGTTTTGCACCTAAACCTCGTCAAAATACTGATATAGGGAGGTACTGATATGTGGGGCCTATTCGAAGACGTGGACCGCATAGACTATTTTCTGTCACAAGACTCTAGTCCCATGACGAACTTCAAGTACCAAATTTGTCGCTAAAATCATCAAAATACCGAATATAGGGAGGTACCGTTATATGGGGGCTATACGAAGACGTGGACCTGCACAGATAAATTTCTGTCTTAGGCTGTAGTATCCAAATTTGGAACAATTCTGGTGATAATATCGCTAAAATCTTCAAAATACCGAATATCGGGAGGTACCGTATATGGGGGCTGTATGAAAACGTGGACCTACATGGCCCATTTACGAACTAACCTGCATACTGCATAGCGTGATTACAAACAGCTAAATCGACTAAGAATTTTACGTGATCAAGAATATGTATACTTTGTTGGTCTGACATGAGTACTTTCAGAGGAGTTACAAACGAATGACAAAGTATGGTGGAGGGGTATAAAAAATTTAATTCCCTCTATGTGATTTTCCTATGTATTCGATATCAGTCTATTTCGTCAACAAAATCAGCATCGATGTAAAGTCAGAGGTGTATATGACGTCTTCTAAAATTGTTCGTAGAAGGTTTAGCCGTGTTTCGGCACATCCGACCGAATTCAGCTGAGAATGAATACTTCAAATTTGTGTGAAAATTGATTCTCAAATATATGTTTCATCCGATTCGGTGTTAAAGACCCTCATATCACAATATGCACTCCAAAACAATGATATTTAATATTTCAGTTTGTATTCCCAGCATGTATAAGAAACTTCCTTGCATAGAACTGTTCTAATAGGTCCACGTTTTCGTATAGCCCTATACCTACCTATATTCGGTATTTTGTTGATTTCAGCTATGTTATTCACCGGAATTGTTTCAAATGCTGCCCAGCCTCCCTAAATTCGGTATTTTGTGATTTAGCTACATTATTCAGCGGATTATTTCCAATTTCGTATTTGCAGTTCGTAACGCTACTGCAGTCTGTGACAGAAAATGCCTATGCAGGTCCACAACTTTGTATAGACTCCAAAATAACGGTCACGCCCTATATTCGGTATATTAAGATTTTAAGAGAATTTTTAAGGGTTTCTATTTATTTATTTATTGTTTTAATTTTTTTTTTTTTAAGTTCGTCCCAGCCGTCTCATCATATGTTCAGGAAAATATTGAAGATTTACCAAAGCGATAGTCAGTATTTGTTTGTTAATATTTAATACTTTGCTTTTTTGGCGCCCAATGTGAAACCAAGTACAGTACATATTAAATATAGTTTGACACATATGCCGTTTATCTTCGACCATGAATTTCAAACCGTAACCTACATTTCAAATTCCAACCTATACCTACAACCAGTATCCAACCGTACTATTTTTCTGCAAGTGTGAATCCTTTCCCATGACCAAATTTACTATTTTGTCGTCTCTACCCTGGCCGCGTGATTTATTATTTCTGATTTACACATTTCCAGCAGAGCTTTTCGCGCCTTTTTTTGTGTGCCAATTTTTTTTAAGGGTTGAAACAACCAAGAAATCCATGTATGCGTCGATAAAATGTGCTTGCAACATTCACATCACAGACATGATGTTGGCTACAGTACATGGCCATCGGTTGGGGTCAATAACAGTTCTGACAAATCAAGTTATAACCAAAAATAAAATAAAAGAAAAGAAAACGTTAGACACCATCAACTTGGTGTACAAGTTTGGAGACGCTGAATGCCTTGACGAAGAGAACGAAAAAGAACGTTGTCACGTCACATACAAAACCAGTTGGAAACAACGAAAAAAACAACAAGAACAACATAAATGAAACACAAGCGAGCCTCCAAAAAGCTAACCAAGGAACAAGTTGTTGTTAGACATCGAACATTGTACAACAACCACATCCCCACCCCTCATCAAGCAGCAACAAATACCGGTTGGAGTAACGTGAATACACACAAGAAAAAAGGTGAGATGGCAGCAAACAACATAACAACAATCAAACCATACGACCAACAAAAAAGCCAGCCAACCAACCGGTCGTACAGTCTACCGGTCGTTCCAACCAGCCAACCACATCAGAGGTTTGAATTGAACAGTTCTGCTATTCCCGTATCTCAAATAAGGTTTCAGTGCTGAAAACGGCGGAACGATTTGCGGTGCTTGTTGTTTAGGTACGGTAAAATAAATCGGTTCTTTAAATCATTTTATATTCTTGAGTGTTTGTTGTGCGCTTCCGTTGGAGGCAAGCTAGAAGTAAGATAAACAGAAACAGTTTTATGTGCATGTGTGGTACTCTCAAAAAGTGAAGAGCATACAGTATTTGCTGTATTTCAAAATAATTGTTTTAAGAAACGAATGAACAAACCCCATCCAAAAAAATACCTCTCAGGTATTAAGTGAAACACAAAAAAATGTTGGAAACTTATAATCCTGAAATGACGTTCATTTTGTGCTCATGTCTAATTTAAATAAACGTGCATTTGAAGTGGATTCTTTAACGATTCAAAAAAAGAAAGAAAAAAATCTTGATAGCAAAACAAAATCATAAACTTCGTCGGGGCCTGCCTAGTTGGAAATAAAAATAAAATGGAACAACTTTAAGAATCGTGTGATTATTTTTATGATCGTGTTCAAAGTTGGCCGATCACTTTGCATATCATCCAATTTAAGAACAAAAATCTAAAAATCTATTTTTGAGTATAATACTTTATTATGATCCTATGCAAATTTGCAATGGTGTTGCTGTACTCTAATGAAGAGCCAAAAAAAATAAAACTGTTTTGCTTGTTTTATATATATTTAATTTTTGCTAAATAAATATTTATATAAAATTAGTGTTTATACAAATGGAAAATTAACTAAATTTTATGTTCTAGTTTTGAAGAGTTGTATAAGAGAGATAAAATTGGACACTGATACTAATAAGGAACGGCAGAACTTCAGACCATTATAACTTAACATGTGTTAACTAAGTCTAAGCTAAATTCTTATTTTGAGACCAGCAATTTTTATACCCTACAACACTATGTCTTGGGGTATTATAAGTTTGATTGGGCCAAAAATTATGTAACACCACGAAATATTGGTTTCCCACATAGGAAAGTATATATGGATCTTCCTAGCTCGCCGAGCTGAGTCGATCTAGCTTTGTATGTCCGCCCGTCCGTCTGTCCATGTTAATTTGTAATCACTCCACAGGTCGCAATTATGGTCCGATCTTCACGAAATTTAGAATGGTGGGGATAGGGTAAGAATAGAACCCTATTTCTTTTGGAGTTGATTGTATAATATTTAGGGGTTGAAATGGACCAAAAACTGAAAAAAAATCCTGATTTTGCAGTTGCTCTACAGATCACAATTATAGACCAATCGACACGAAAATTAGCATGGGACTAGAGCTTAGGGCTGAGCAGAAGCCTTCCAATTTTGATGGTCATCGGTTAATATTTAGTGGGTGTAATAGACCACAACATTTGTGTTAAATAAAAGTCAAATTTTCCATTAAACCGCGAATGTTTTTAATCCCGGCGAAATCACAAATAGACGAACAGGTCAATGCGGACCGTTACGTAGATGCCGATAGTAAATATATCGGATATATATAGCGAAATATATACAATATGTATATACAAAGGAAGGGGATGTTTGCTAGAATGCTTATATCTCAAAAAAGGCTGGACCCGATTTTGACAAATTTTGTCAATTTAGAATGCCCTCCTGTCCATAAAAGTATAAATCTAAAAAAAAAATCGCCGAAAATATCCAATATGATGTTAATTGAGATTTTGTAGAATTTTGTGACATTTTTTTATTTTTCATATTTTATTGCATGCGATTTTTCAATTTGACTTATAATATTGAAGTGTATATTTTGTAATATTTTTTCACCTTACAACACAGGTTGGGGATATTATATAAGTATTGCAAATATCGTCCGACCCTCACGATAATTTTTACAAGAGTAGTGTTGGGCTCAGAAGGGCTAGGCCTATTGTTTTCAAAAATGTCCGCAATATATTTAGGGGTTGAAATTTACCAATAACTAAAAATTTTCCTGATTTTGCAGCCGTTATAAAGGTCACAAATAGAAACCAAAGGACACGAAATCTCGCATAAATTTAGAGTTTAGGACAGCGGGTACAATGGACCACTAATTAAGTGTGAAAAAATACCAGCATTACTTACAGGCGATATCCGAAATAAACAAAAGACGAACTTCTGGCTTTTTTATGCTGATTTCTTTGACGAATTAAGCCAAATATCGTAGACAAACAAAGCATATAGATGAGTTTAAATTTGGAGATACGGAGGGGCTTCTTGCTTTTGGAGATGATTGCAAAATATTTAGGGGTTCAAATTTACCAAAAACAGAAATGTTTTTCCGATCACACAATTGAAGCCAATCGACACGCCTGTGAAGAGAGTAAAGGACAGGGAAAAATTCTTGCATTTGACAATTGGATTATATTTAGCTGTAAAATGGACTACAACAACTAACAGCCCGATGGAATGCAGATATATTGGGCAAATGTCCCTAGTCAAAATCCTAATTTCAAAAGCGAAATCTTCCAATATGGATTTGGACATAAGAGGGCTTCTAACATATTGTAGTGTTGTAGGGTATAACATAGTCGGCCCCGCACGACTATAGCCTTTGCTTACTTGTTATTTCATAAGAGGTGTTTAACATATATATTGTAAACGGAAATAATAGATAATGTAGCAAGTGCCCACGACAAGGCCGAGTAGTTGATACCCTACACCGCTATGCATATTTAGTAGAGCTCCTGTAACGAAAGAATTTTTTTGAAGTATATCATAAAGCCTATCAGCATTTGGCTTTAGAGCAGTTATAGTTTTGTTTTAGAGGGAACTAATATGCATATGCAATTCTGAATCGATTTTCACTAAATTTTACAGAGATTTTTTTTTAATCTTTGCAACATTGCTATAGGACGCATGATCTCATTTCGAGAAGGATTATATTAAAATGGAAACGTACGTCCCGAAATGCACTCCATTTTGGTTTATATTAGCCATTATTTGCACAATAAAACTGAAATGTGAGTGACTTTAAACCCCAAATCGGATGTTACATAGCTATATCTGACTGAATTTGGTAAGATGTACCAAAATTCAGGTTATTAGGACTTATCTTGGTCATTTGATGCACAATTAACCCGAAATTGGTTGAAGAAAAATATTCTGGAGGGATATTAAAGCATTGGACACGCAAACATTTTGGCCGCAGGCCTTGGAAATTCTAACAAGACATAGCATCATCGCACTCAGCACGCGCCACCCAAGAATGGTTACAAAATTAGGTTCCTCACTTCATTTCCAGCGCACAATGGCCACCAAAATATCCGGATACCAATCCGTTAAACTATTATGTCTGGAGTATTTTGGAAAGCAAGGTTGGCACTAAAAAAATACCAAAGTGTCGAATGTGTCAAAATACCGCAGAGCAACATTCGGGCAGCGTGTGACGGTTTCATTGGCCGTTTGAAGGCCATAATTCGTGCCAAAGGTGACCAATTTGAACAAATCTAAACTTATTCTAAAATTTGATGCTATTTCCGACATTTTTTGGCTTTCATTCCATAAAATTTAAAACAAAAAATGTAACAATTATGGCGTTTGACTTTGTTGCAGTATTTTATCTCACACTGTATATGTTGCTTTTGCTTAGCACGCGCCACCCAAGAATTGTTACAAAATTAGGTTCCTCGCTTCATTTCCAGTGCACAATGGCCACCAAAATATCCGGATACCAATCCGTTGGATTATTGTGTATGGAGTATTTTGGAAAGCAAGGTTGGCACTAAAAAATACCAAAGTGTCGATCACCTCAAGCAAGCGCTTCGCCGGGAATGTGTCTAAATACCGCAGAGCAACATTCGGGCAGCGTGTGACAGTTGCATTGGTCGTTTGATGGCCATAATTCGTGCCAAAGGTGACCAATTCGAATAAATCTAAACTTATTCTAAAATGTTGATGCTATTTCCGACATTTTTTGCTTTCATTCAATAAAATTTGAAAAAAAAAATGTAACAATTGTGGCGTTTGACTTTTATCTCACACTGTACATGTTGCTTTTGTAGAAAATTGAAATCCCAAATTATTTAAGGGACCAATATAGGAAAATGTGAACCAATATAGATTATTTTCAATCAAAGGGATACCATCACTACGAATTAAAAATATCAAATTACAAAGAATTGTATGGGAAAACGTCGGTCTCTGTAGTCAGGTGGTATATATTACAAAATACCCATATAAAATGTAAAACAGTTCCATTCGATCAATAGAGTCAAAAGAGCCATCCTGAAAATCTTTCCAAAAATGGACACACAAGGATGGATATCACAATGTTGTATTCTTGAACATATACCCACAGTGGGACGAAACCAATTTCATCTTGGAGTGACCAACTTTGCTAGCTTGAACATTTGAAATGTATAACAAAGTTTTGAAAATTAAACGTTTAATTGAAATTCATATCCAATTTTCGTTTATATAGCACTAGCTGGCCCGGTCCGCGTTGCCGGCCCGTAATTTTAGTCTTTAATGCTTATTATATCCCCCACCTTGGAAAGGAGGGTATATTAACTTTTTCATTCCGTTTGTAACATCCCTAAATGTTCGTCATAGACTCCGTCTGTATGTCTGTTTATTTAAATTACGATACAGTCCACATATTTGACGTAGAGCTTCAAAATTTAGCAGAACAATTTGTACTGTGTATAGGATGGTTGGTATTGAAAATGGTCCACGTTTTGGTATAGTCCCCATATAACGGTACCTCTCGAAATTCGTTATTTTGACGATTTTTGTCACATTTCTCCTCGGATTTGTCCGCGTTGCCGGCCCGTAGTTTTAGTCTTTAATGCAAATTTAGCATAGCATAATATTTCACAAATCTAGCTCATAAAGGTGAACAAATTTTTATATAAATACTAGCTGGCCCGGTCCGCGTTGCCGGCCCGTAATTTTAGTCTTTAATGCTTATTATATCCCCCACCTTGGAAAGGAGGGTATATTAACTTTTTCATTCGTTTGTAACATCCCTAAATGTTCGTCATAGACTCCGTCTGTATGTCTGTTTATTTAAATTACGATACAGTCCACATTATTTGACGTAGAGCTTCAAAATTTAGCAGAACAATTT